TTGAACACAAATTGTAAAGATGAGAAACTCAGAAATAGAAAGGATATCCTGTTGATTGCACAATGAACGGAGTCCTTTAAGAAAGCATTTTAAAACATTGAGTATAAAAAATATATTTCAGAAAAAAATGTAGCGTGCATATTTAATTAAAGCCACCAGCCAGCAACATACAAACACTGCATATTTCCAAAATTAAAATATCAAACTAGCCAGACATAATAGAAATCATCAATGCACATGGAGGGCATCCATATCTGCTTAGTACATTTACAGTTTCTGGCCACAGTGTTATCCACCATGTAGCTCAAGTAGCGCAAGTCTACCAGACAGCTCTCAGACTCTAAGCCCTCGTTCACACCTGAACGTTTTGTAGCGCGTTCTACGCTCGACGAACGCTCTACAAAACGCTCAAAAATATAAATCCCATTGTATTCAATGGTCTCATTCCCACCTTGGCGTATTTCCGCCCGTCCCTAACGCGCTACAAAACGGCCCACGCCTGAAAAGGTACATGTACTACTTTTGGCCGTTTTCATTGAGATACAGCCAAGTAGCCTTCGGAAACGCGCAACTTTTTTACCGCAAATCGCGGTAAAAAAAACGTGCGACAGACGCGCATATGCAATACGCCTAGGTGTGAACGAGACCCTTCGGTGTACCCAAATTAGTGTGTATGTACCGTGCCCAAGCATGTTTGACCCCCAGTGTCCAGTTTGTTTGACTGGTGTGATCACTCCGTACCATGCCCTGGCCTGTTTAAAAGGATGACCTTGGATACAGTTCAGTTGGACTTCAACGTTGTATGCATACGTGTGATCAATAACCATGTCTGAGCATGGAACTTGAACACTTAAGCAGATTAGATCCATTTGTGCAAACTCCGGTAGTAAGGATACAGATGATTTAAGCCTGCAAGGACCCAGCATGATGCGAGTGCAAACTAGCGGGGGATTGGGGACATTTGTTCTTGGGTTGAGTATGAGTAAACCCTAAAGCATCATGTGGGTAGAGCTGGGCATAGTTCAATACTCATTCAAACCAAACAGGGGCAATGTTTCCAGATACCAATTTACCAAGAAGAAGTGATTTTTCGTAGCAGTGTGGCTTACTGTAACAGACTTAGATGATTCTGAGAAAAGGGGGAAGCCTCTGTGTTACATTTATAGGGTTTCTTCTCAACATGTATTTCAAGGATTAGAAAGCTTTACAGCCACCCAGATCACTTTTAATTCTAGGCAGGGAGCCGAAAATCTAAAGTCTATAATGAGCTCATGGCTGCAATAGCCCTTGAAGTTCCGTACCACATAGGACTCATCCTTGGCTGGGTAATGCTGATCTACCCATCTGTACACTCTCACCTTTCTTTTTTCCCCCCCTAATCAGCGACTGGGAGTAAAGAAAATACCCCTGTACTTCAGGCTATTGAGTAGCATGTGACTTATTCCCCTTCTTGGTGATTGGTCAGTGATTGGTCCTGCAATGTCACGTGGAAAAACAGGAAGCGTCTTTGGTACTATGTAAGCTCAAACTTGAGCAAATCTGAGTTTACACATGGTGTTTTTTCCTCACTCCAATGGCTGAACAAAGTCATGGGGGAGGGAAGAAAACGTGTATTTGATGTGATGCATTGCGGTAATACACTGCATATTCGTTTTTAGTCCATTTTTGTGTTGGTAGCCCATGGAAAATGAATAGACTGCTGTAACGCAATGCACATTATTGCATGACACAACATGTATTAATGTAATGTACAAGTATGCATTCTTAACCTTTATAGCCAAGGAAAGTGCCATCTCAGCCTCTATTTGGATTGCAGCTGCCATGATGCAGCACATGTGATCAGCTATGAAACCAGCCATGAGGGCTTGTAAGTTCGGTTGAGAGCTGAAATAAGCACACTGGCAACCTTGATAGTTAGCATGCCTTCAAAGTAACGGTTTTGGGAAACCATTATATAGGTGGATCAAGCTCCATTTTAAAGAGATTTTTTCACCAATCCATTCATTTAGAACAACTATATTCCCGAAATATTATATGTGCATGCAATGTATTTTATTCATGTTATTTACTTCCCTTGTATAGACATCCAAAAGCCCGAGACTGCTACTGGGCACCACCATCTTGGATGTGATATCAGAAGACTCGGAGCTGTCATTCAAGTAACACTCTGTAGTATTCCCCTTCACTCCTTCCCCATCAGCTACATAAAAGGTTATGTAGGGAAGTAAAGTGAGGGGCAGCTGGGCTAGGGAATTGACTTTTCCTGGAAGTATCACATTTTCGGAGCAAGCTCAAAGGCACATTACAAGTGAATAAAAAATAATCTATAAAAAAGGACACAAACTGCAAGTAAGCATTTAGAATACCTGATTTTTTTGTGCTTTTACCTACATTTTGATAAGCTGGTGACTGTGAATCTTTAAACTAGAATAAAGCCTTTTTTTAGGCTTTACAATTCCTAACACTCCACAAAACAACAGCAAAGCTTAACGCTGCCAGCACACACACAGCCCAAGCCGCTCGGCTTCATGACACAAAGCTGCTAGAATGGGCAGAGAAGTAAACCTCTACAAACACTGAGCCCATTCGAGCAGTCAGAGATTACCATTAACTATTTGTTAACAACCTGTCACAGCCTTAGAGCCGGGTGTAAAACTCACATCACAGACCGGCGAGAGGCGCAAAGCACACCAGTTCAGAGGAAGCAGGCGAGCTGGCACAAACACTTCCACAACAGATGGAAGCTGTGAATCAACCACATTACATAACTATCTATTTTATAATTATGTGGTACACCATTCACGTCCAAGCCAGAAATTGGAAAACGCGGCCAAAACAAAAACCCTCCGAATAACTGAGGAACAGTGACATGTGACTAAGCTTCCAAGTTTTGATGCGGATGCAAGGAGTTCTTCCACTTCAAAGAATTTCTGTCAAAGTAACTGAAGTGTGTTAGCAAGAAAACGTTAAAGCGGAACTACTAGCTTTTGGTAAGCCTCCATGGTCAAATGCAGCATACGTGCCAGGGGCTTCTAACAATAAAACAGATTTCCTTTAAAGGCAAAGTCCACCTATTGGAAAAATAAAGGAACGTTTCTTCATAAAAGAAAAAAAAATGTGCATTTATTATTTGTTTGAATTGGAGCCAGTAAAGAATTACAACAGAAATCAGTGGAACACGGGTGCAAAACTGGGACTTCAGATTCTTTCTCCTGTCCATGTCTGTACCGAGCTACAGGACATTCATTAACATGGGTGGAAGTAACAATGAATGGACAACAGGTGCCATGATTTCATTGCAATTGTATTCCATGGAGAGCTACAAGTCCTCTGCCATGGTGGATGGTGGGACTTGTAATGTCTACATTTGTAGATCCTGACAAAGGATCAGTGAATGGATGAAGCATCTGTGTTGATGGAGCCACGCACAGCAACTTTCATCAAACTAATATCAACCCAAGATGTTTTTGGCAAACAGATGTTAAAGTAGAACTTCACGCAAAACAACTTTTTTTGTGATGCATGGTGTGTATAACAAAGTTACCTGTAATTATGTATATTCTACACCTGGATCGGTGTTCTGTAGCATAAAAATCAGTTTCATTCAGGTGAGCAAGTACAGTTGGTGGTGTTCTTCCAGTGCTGTGTATGTGAGAGTTGCAGCTCTCAAGCAGGTATGTGATGCTGTCATTTACCCTCCCTTTCCTCACCCCTTGTCCATTCACACAACACTTAAGGGGGAATTTATCAAAACTGGAGCAGACAAAATCTGGAGCAGTTTTGCACTGCAGCCAATCAGCTTCTCTCTCTCTCATTTTCAAATCTTACCTGAGCAAACTTGAGAGTTGCTAATTGGTTGCATTGGGCAACTGCTCCAGCTTCTGTTTGCTCCAGTTTTGACAAATTCCCCCCCTTTTATTTTGTTCACGGGTGGAGGGGAAAGACAACAGGATCCCTTGACTGTATGAGAGCTGCAGCTCTTGTCCCTTCACAGAACATTTAAAAGAAGTTTTTTTGTTTTTAAATACATTTAATTATGTATTAATAACCAATTTGCATTAAGTTGTGTTTCTTTATAACTGCCTGGAGTTCAGCTTTAACCATTTCAAGTTGGTGGGAGCCAACCCTTTAAAAGTTTGTAATGCTGCTAAAGGCATTACATGACTTTCTGGTCATGTGATCACAGTGATTGGCTGCCACGTGATCAGGGACCCTCCGCCGGCTCCTCCTCGCAAGTCACTGTGCTGGGGTTGTGGAGTGAGTGGACTCTCTGCCCAAACAAGGGACACCGGCTGCATGCACATATGTGACAACTTGACGTTAAAGCCCACGGCTGAGATGCCACATATATACACATAGTTGGAATTAAGGGGTTAACTTCTGTTCACATTAAATATTTTAACTGAGGTTGTGATTTGACTGCATACATGGGTTTTCCTGCCATTAGGAAACTGCATAAATAAAAACACTTTTAGAAGTACTAACCCTTCCCCACATTTCAAAATGTTTTATTTTGTGTTCCGAATGGAGAGATTTCCCATAACTTCCTGGCCTGAAGGGTGTGTACGTTATGGTGAGCTGCACCTCGGGTACCGATTCTAAGTTCAAAGTGCCATGCATCATTGTCCATTACCCTAACGTGGTTGGCCAAAACATACAAGTATAAAGCCAGCCTAAGGATTAAGCTCAGGGAAACATGGGTCACAGGTGTGTACCTGTGTGGTGGTTAGGACATCAATATAAGGAAGTGCTGCTCATCACTGAATGGGAAGACCCAAGTATTATTGCATTTTTTGGTGCATGGTACCAATTTGCAGCTGTGACTGGAAGCATAAGATACATGGCGCAGCCCTGGAGTTCTACAGGCTGTCCTGGCTTGTATTTTATACTAAACATGAATGGAAAAGGCCTTATCACATAGGAATGGATCTAAACCAGAATGCTAGCTTAACTTAAGTTGCAGAGCCCTTGATAAAATTACTAAACAAGTGAATGCTTACCTTCCCCTGAGGAGCCAGAGAGATCTATTACTACATATACTTTTCCTTCCGGTTCCAGGTCAATCTGTAAGTGACACAAAAATAGAGAAATATATTCATTATAATGGTTCAGAAATTGGTATATTTTCCATCACACATTATAAATTACATGCGTACACTGCACTACAGTGCCCATAATCAAAGTCACTAAACGTTAAAAGGTCATCGGGGTGGAAAAATTAAAAAGGAATTTAGGAGCCAGTCTGTCCACTCCAGGAGCCAGCAAGATTTTCTTCTAGGAGACGGCTCCATTGACAACAACTCCAGAAAACCTCGAAAAAGTGAGGCGCCAGCTGTATTTTTTAAGGAGCATTGGTGACCTGGCCCTGCAGTACATGCAAGAAAATATCTGCAAGATAATCTATTATATTAATAATATGTGCAAGACCAGCCTTGTCCCTATTATAATGTATTCGTATTATAATGTATTCTACTTTACAAGTCTGCATGAATAGATTCCTGGCATGTCTCAATATACAACAATATAACTATTAAAAAAAGAGCTCTGCCTAGTCAATGGGCTCTAGGCAAGTAACTGTCCAGGCTGATAGGATGCCATCTGTCTGTTGCAAGCTGGAGCAACCATTTACTCAATCTCTGACCATTACCAAAGCACATCAGTGGGTGTACAATATACCCGAACATAACCAGAGACCAGAGTT